AAAAAAAAAAGATTATTTATAGTGATTATGATTGCCATATGTAAGAGAAATAGTAGATTCTTGAGAGTTAAGCATTTAATAAGTTTATTTGCTTAGTGCCTTTGGTATCTTTGGATTTTTAAATTATGCAACTCTCTCAGACCACTCTTCCTTTGCTGTTTTAGGGGCAGTTTCAGTGGCTTGGAGGAATCCTCTTTCAAGCTGGTGTACTGCTATGCTCCATTGCTTTGGTGGTGGAATTTTATCCTGTATACTTCTTGCAGAACCTCCATTGAGGTTTCTTGAAAACAACACTAATATATTACTGGCATCTTCAATCTGGTAAGTTGTCTATATGGTAGACTATGAAACAATATAAGAGTTGTTTCTGAGTTACTACTAAAATGGAATTTTTCTCTTTGGAAATGATTTTACATTTTTTTTTTTTTTGGGGGGGGAAACATGTTTAAGAGAAGGAATCCAAGTAAGAGAAGGATCCAAGTAAGGTTTTCTGTACAGAGTATTTATCTCTCTTTCTTAGTCATTGTTGTAGAGTTAAAATTGACTCATAACTGATCCAGCTCTTAATTTCCAAGACTAGAATATCAAGCAGGTGGAGATTGGTTTTTTGTTCTGTTGGTGACTCAACAGCCAGAGAGGCGTGGCCACTGGATTAGCCATGCAGCTACCAAGGGATTAGTGCATCATGGCCCCTCATATAAAAACTAGAGCTAAAAATCCTTGCCTTTAATAAATACCCAGAACCTGATTATTTTCATCATTATTTCTACTTGTAAATCAACAGTACTAAACACCACTGGGTGTTGGGTTTTTTTTCTTCCATTTTTATTGTCTTGTCTGGACAATTTTAATAACTCAGCTGTTATCACTCCCTTATCCCCAGTTTATTGTTCATATAGTTGTTCCCAGTGCCATTGAATTGATTTTGCCTTAACAGCGTCTAAACATATGGGTCTTGCCTGAGGAACTTTATGAGTTGGCACTGACTTGATGGTAGTAGATTTGGGTTCTAACTGTTGGAGTTCCTGGATGGGTCCTTATTGTTTGTAAGTGCCTAGCTACTATCTGAAAAGTTAGTGTTCAGATCCTCCCAGCGGTGCTTCTCAAGAAAGGCTTTGTGATCTTCTGAAAGATCACTACCATACTTGATGCAACAGCACATACACTAAAATTGGAGCAATACAGAGAGGACTAGCATGGCCCCTGGGTAAGGATGACACATGAATTCATGAAGCATTCCATAGTTTGTCATTGGAATATAATTTTATCCCTCTCAATGCATGTAATATTAATGTCATAAATGTGATACTGTTTTGCTAAAACCCCCTCAGAATCCTCAAAAAGATCATAACTGATGAAAACCCTGCCCTGCTACATACATATGGAGTAACTGTGAGTTGGAACCAGCCAGTTTGTAATTGGTGTGGCTTTCCAAGGATTTTAACATTGTCCTACTTTGTTATTTCTTCTTACCTGACATATTATCTATTTATATTTTTATTCTGTCTCACCCTACTAGAATGAGAGTATCATAAGAATTGGGAGTTTGTTTTGTTAACTATATGCCTGATACTGCTTATGACACCTTGCAGTAATATTTCAAAATGAAATATTGTGTATGGCTTTCTGGGCCTTTTTTTAAAACCTAACATTATTTTTCTAAGAGGATTATTTTTGCATGTAATTATATGTAGTATATTGCCTTTCATTGCTGTATAGTAATCCATTATATGAATACCTGTATTTCTTTTCTTTTTTTGCAGATAAATCTTTGTTTTAGTTTGAATTACTGGGTTATTTTAAAATGTGTATGCATTACAAAACAATAATACGCATACCAATGACGGTATCCCTCAGATAATTTTCTAAGTGCTGTACATTTAGTATCTCACTTGAGAACCCTCTGATGTAGGTACTGTTTTATTCTTATTTCATGAATGATGTAACTACAGCATGGAGAAACTAAATAACTGGACTGCTGTGTTACAGTGCTGACTAATTGGAGCCAGAATACAAATCTAGGCCATTTGGCTGTTTAGTAGTGGATTGTTTTTGTTCTAGAAATGTAGACCTGGTCGCTTTTTACACAGACCTTTGTAAATATTAGGCATACTACCTTAAATTTGATATTTTTGTGAGGAGAGACTGGTCCTTGGAGAGGGACATCATGCTTGGGCGGGTGGAGGGACAGCGCAGGAGAGGAAGGCCCTCTATGAGGTGGATTGATTCAGTGACTGGGATAATTGGGATGGGAGTGTCAGAGACAGTGCGATTGGCACAGGACAGAGCGGAGTTTAGGGCTGTTGTACATAGGGTCGCTATGAGTCGCAAGCGACTCGACGGCACATAACAACAACAACAACAATGTTAAAAACAAATTTCTGACTTTTGCTTCATTTACTTTAAATTTGAATTGACTCAAAATACTATCAAGCTAAAAGAGATTCCACGAACACTTGTTAAAAGGTAAACTTTAGTATGTCTTAGTGTTCACATCTGGAGATTAGCACCATCTACTGACAAAGACAAGCAATGACTTTGTATCCCTGTACAGTATTGTTGGAAGGCAGTGTTATAAGATTTTTCATTTTGAGAAACTGTTTCTGAGAGGATGTAATTACTATATAATCATTCTGTATAATGCTTTTTTTGAGACTTTGTTTTCCTTAAACTTAAAAATGTCACATATGCACATTTATATAATGGAGACTGCATGCACTTAGAAGAATAGAAATACTATTATATAATAATATATAGTATAATAATACTAGAAATATTATAAATGCTATTTGAGAAATAATCTTCCTGTTATACACATAGTTATGAATTTGTTAAAATAGTAACAGCATGAGCAAAACAGTCATATTGGACTCACATGAACTCTGTTTAGTTTTCTGTTTTGATTTAGTTAAGTAATATTTACTTAATAGAGGAATAAAATTAATAGTTAAATGAAAACACATCTTAGTGAGTAACTCTGGGTAGCTTCTCTTTGCTAAGTTATTGGTATTAATCTAAATTCTAGTCTCATTTTTATTACTTACACTGGTTTGACTTTCCTTCGTGTCAGTGGCCAAGTGTTTTGTTTGTATCTTGTCCTGGATTGTTACCGTGTGCCCTGAGTCAGAGCAGGCTCTTGGAAGCCTTGTATGACAGTTGAACTGCTCCCATCAAGGCTATTCATCTTTACAGAGCAAACTGGTCACTTCATTCACCTGTATAGTAGCTGAGTGGTTCAGTTGAACTGTCATTATTTTCTTTTTTAATTTTGTTTTATTTTATTATTTTTGTGTGCATGTACCGTCAAATTAGATCTGAGTGTTCAGGAGGAGATTGCCCCTCCTTCACCGGCAGAGCACCTAGTGGATTCGAACCGTGTACCTCTGGGATTGTAGTTGCAGCTTCTTGCCACTAGGCCACCAGAGCTCCCCTGAACTGTCATTATTTTCATTAGCAGTTGAATCAGTGTGTTACAAGCTTGATGTTTCTTAAATTGTGGTGTTAGTGAAAGTAGACAGAAAGGCAAGATTTTCACACATTCATTGATAACACATTTTCCTCCTTCCCTCTCCAGCACTCCTAGTATATGGACGGACAACTCATATTGACCCTATGAAAATATCAAGATGTATTGACTTTAGGTCGGTAGAGATCAGGAGTTATATTGCACTGGGAAAGTCTGCAGTCAGGGGTCTCCCCAAATTAGTGAAGTGCAGTGATTTTAGTTTGAAGATTAAGGTATGCCTGATTCAAACCATGGTCTTTTCACTTGTTTGCTATGCATCTGAGAGCTGGACAGTGAGTAAAGATGACAGAAGAAGAGTTGAGTTTTCTTTGAGTTGTAATGTTGGAGGAGAGTACTGAATAAACCATGGACCCAGAGCCAAAAATTAAACAGATGTTGTTTCAGGGAAGATGAATACCTGTTGCTCCTTGAAAGCAAGAGTGATGAAGCATCATCTCATACTTTGAACATGTTGCTGGGAGAGACTGTTCCTTGGAAAAGGACATCATGCTTGGAAAATTGGCGGTATGGCAGAGGAGAGGAAGATCCTCAACCAGATGGATTGACGTATTGACTGCAGCAATGGGCTCAAGTGTGTCAGAGATTGTGAAGTTGGTACAGACAGGACAGGGTTCAGATCTATTGTTTATAGGGTCACTACAAGTCATACTTGACTCAGTGGCACCTATAATAATGCTATCATCCATCCATTCCTTTTAGATAGTCTTTCTCTTCACCTATTCCCATGCATTGTTCCTTATTTATCCTCTTTTCCTGTTCACTGCCCCCCTCTTGTGTCTAACCTATTTTTATAACAGTGATCTTATGTGTTGTTTATCAGTTTGTGACTGAGATATTTCACTTAATATCATGTCTTCCATACTCATCCATGTTGTACAGTGCTTTACAAGTTCATTGTTGTTGAGCAGTCAGGCCACTTCCATCTCTTCGATATTGTGAATAATGCTGCAAGAAATATGAGTGTGCATACCTCTGTTTGTGTCACAGCTCTGCTTTCTTTAGGGTATATCCCGAATAGTGGGATAGCTGGGTCAAATGGTACGTCTGACTTCAACTTTAGGAAGTGCCAGACTGCTTTTCATAGCGGTTGTAACATTTGAAATTCCCCAACAGTGAATAAGAGTTCCAATCTCTCTATATCCTCACTAGCATTTGTTGTTTCTGACCTGTTGAACTTTGTTATTGTTGCAGGGGTAAGATGATACCTAATTGTTGTTTTGATTTGCATCTCTCTATTAACTAGGGGTTTTGAGCATTTCTTCGTGTGTGTGTTGACCATCTTACTTTTTTCTGTTCATAGCTTAAGTAGTATCTATTCATATCTTGTGCCCATTTTGTGATTTCGTTGGTTATCTTTTTCTTGTTGGCGTGTTCTAAAAATTTTAGACAAAAATCCCTTGTCAGATATGTTAATTTAGAATCTTTTTTTTCCCACAGTCAATGGGTTTTCTTCTTATTCTGTTGGAGAAGTTTTTGGATGTGATAAGGATTTGAGTTTTAGAATGTCTTCTTAATTTTATCTTCTCCTGGTTGTAGGCTTTTAATTATGCTTGGAAGTCTCTTCATGCCATATATTAGGGCTTCTAGAGTTGTTCCTCCTTCTTCTCTGATGAACTTTATAGTCTTTGTTTATACTGAGAGATTGCTGATCCAAACTCTTGTTGGTTTTTTAATGTGGTTTGAGGTAAGAGTGTTGATTGAATTTTCTGCACATTGTTGTCCAGCTTTGCCAGCACCATATGTTAAAGGGGCTGTCTTTCCCCATTGAATTGATTTCTTCTCCTTACCAAAGATAGGTTGACCAAAGGAGAATGGGTTGATTTCTGAGATCTCTATTCTGTTCCATTGATCTGTGTGTTTGCTGCTGTACCAGTACCTCACTCTCTTGATTACTGTGGCTGCGTAGATGGCTTTGAGGTCAGGGAGTGTGCTGCCTCCTACCTTGTTCCTTTTCAGCAGTGCTTTGACTGTAGGGGTCCCTTTCCATTCCAGACACAAAAAAGAGAGAAGCTGCTCAGGCTGCTTCTGTACAACCAAACCACCTCATGAAATTTTGTCCCTTGGTTTGGAGATTCAGAGGCATGATTTCATGCCCCCCCTTCAAAAGTTAACTTACTGTAGATATATTTTAGAAATTAAATAAGAAGTTATTTATTTATAGATGGTAGCAGTAATTATAGAGTAGGTGTAGTAATGCCACATTGATGACAAGGAAAAAAAATCCCCTGTACTCCTAGGAGTGATTCTACATTTATTTTGTTAATGGATTCAACACATAGCTTCTAGAACACATAAATACAAATTAGGAACCTAACAAATACCTTTTGTGTAATTAATATGTTTAGAAGTCCAACATTTATACTCTCCTCTGATCATGGCTGTGTAGTGTTGCAGACATGACTTTTTTTATGTGCTCACTTTCATTTTCTTTGAGTTGGAACTGACCCATTGCTGACTATCCAGCAGATTTTTGGGGGTTGCAAGTTATAGGGGAGGCGATTGCCATCTTTCCTCCTAGGAGCCCCTGGTAGATCTGAACCGTCAAAGAGATGCTGGCTCTGGGTTCGCCGTGCAACGCTGGTGAATGACACCAGCACGGTTCCTCTCTCACGGGTACTGAGAAGTGGAAAAAGTTAGGTGGCTTGCTTTATTGTGGTTGTTAGGAACCAGATCGGCCATATGTTTGAGGTAGGCCTGTGCTAACGTTTTATTTCTCTTCTCCTGATTCTGTCGATATATTAAAATATATAAATTTTGATTTCAGGTATATTGTATTTTTCTGCCCATGTGACCTAGTTTGCCAAGCCTATGCTTACCTACCTGTTCAAGTCTTGGCTGCAGGAATGAAGGAAGTGACCAGAACTTGGAAAATAGTAGGTGGAGTCACACATGCTAATAGCTATTACAGAAATGGCTGGATAGTCATGATAGCTATTGGATGGGCCCGAGGTAATATGAACAATATACAATATTAATAATGCATATATTTATACATACTAAGCTTACCTAAGAAATCAGATAACACTTATAAATAAAATACATTGTGCTGCCTTTTCTTTGTATGTATCTAATTTTTAATCTTAAATAACTACAAAATACAAAGTAAATATGATTGATTTGGGGTTCATAACACTTTGTGTGATTAATTTATTGTTGAGTTCTTTTATATGTGGAATTTGAATAAATTTCTTTGACTAAAGGTTAAGAAAATACAGTATAACTCACTTAACACTAATCACCAGTCATCAGTAAGGTTAATCCTTACTTGTTCCTCCTTTTGGAGAACAGAGATAACATGATGATTGGAGCTCACATGATATATGTGATTAAACTCTCTGCGTAAAGAGACTAGCAGCATCCTGTTTGTCTGTCTGATTTACAAAATAAAATAAAAAAGCCCAAACAATCACCACAGATTAGGAAATAGTAACTAGGGGATATTTTTGTTTTGATTTGTCTTCTTAGATCTGAAACAAATCTCTCCTCACATCTCTGTGCTGAAGGTACCAATGTTAGTTAACTTCAGATACAGTGTGACAGATAGTTGCTGTGCTGGTGAAAGGGCAGAATTGTAATTGTCTCAGTTCCATAATTGCACAAGGCAACTATTTTCCTCCTTCCCAAGAAGTGAATTTTTGTTGTTGTAATATGCCATCAAGTTGCCTGTGACTCCTAGTGACCCTATGAATAATAGCTCTGAACCCTGCTCTATCCTGAGCCAATCTCACTGTCTGTGACACACCTGCTCCCGTTATTCCTGTTACTGTGTTAACCCGTCTCATTTGGAGTCTTCCTCTTCTGTGCTGTCCATAGAATTGTTATTCTAACTCAGCTTTACCCCAAGAAAATAGACAAAAAAAAATTCTGACTAAATACTCTCATTATTATTTTCAGGTGCAGGTGGTAACATAATCACAAATTTTGAGCAGTTGGTTAAAGGAACTTGGAAGCCAGAAGGTGATGAATGGCTGAAGATGTCTTAGTAAGTTGGTACAAACTGTACTGAATCTGTTTTTTTATCCTGAATCTTAGGAAATCTGTTTTAAAAAACATTTTTGTGATACTGAAATAGGGTAGGGTTTAGATCTGTTGTTCATAAAATCACTGTGAATTGTAGGTGACTCAGAGGACCTATAACAATAACAAAAATATGGAAGACGCTGCTAGAATTACCTACTAATAATATTTAGAAAGAGAACTATCAGAGTTTATTCTTTCAAAAAGTATTTATTTTAAATAGAATTTTAAAACAGTTACTGATTCCATTCTTAGGTGTCCTTCCTGCCCCTTTCAAAAACAAAGCAAAACTAAAACCCTTTGGATTATTATAAGATCATCAAGATTCAAGGTGATACAGTCTTTAGGGAGTTATGTGTCAAGCCCAAAGGCCATACTTCTCTTGAGGTTCTACCCTTCGGCAGCTCTGAGGAAGAAACATTGTCAGTCTTTTCATGTGTGATTTATGGCATCTGAAAATTTACAGGAGGTCACTTCTGAGTGGGTTCTGACTCAGTGAATGAATGTGGTGAGAACATAATTTGTGAAGAGAAAATTTACAAAGGAATGGATTTCTTTGGGTAGAAATTAATTAGTTTCAGACTCTTATCATTTTCATTGTTGTTGTTAAGAAGCCATTGGAGTCAAGTACAACTTATAGTGACCCTGTGAACAGCAAGTCTGAACCCTGTCCTAGCCTGTGCTATCCTTAGAATCTCTGACACACTTGTGCTCATTGCTGCAGTCACTGTGTTAATCCAATTGCTTGAGAATCTTCCTCTCTTTCACTGACTATCTTTCCAAGCATGATATCCTTTTCCAAGGAATAGCTTTTCTTTCCTAACAACATGCCCAGGAATGTGAGACAAAGCTTCACTATCTTTGCCTTTCAAGGAGCTCTCTGGTTCCATCTTCTCCAAGGTGTGTCTATTTGTTCTTTTGGCAGTCCATGGGATATTCAGTACTCTTCTCCAATACCACAGTTCAAAAGCATTAGTTTTTCCTCTGTCATTCATTGCATAGCTCTTAGCAACATGGCAAGTGATTGAAAAGACCATGGCCTGAATCAGGTGCACCTTCGTCTTCAAACGGACATTGTTGCTTTTCAGTATTTTGAAGAGGGCTGTGACTGCAGACTTTCCCAGTGTAGTATGTCTCCTGATTTCTCCTGATTGCTGGTACCAAGTGTTTTGACTGAGGATTAATGTAAAATTAAATCATTGACAGTGCCAGTCTTTTCTCTATCTGTTATGATGTTGTTGCCTATTGGTCCAGTGGTGAGAATTTTTGTTTTCTTGATGTTGAGATGTAATTGAAGACTGTAGTGTCTGATCTTTTGCAGCAAGTGCTTCAGCTCTTCCTCACTTTCAGCAAGCCAAGTGTGTGGTCTTGTGTAATGATGTGAAACTGAGCTGACCTTGGGACTGCTACTCCTCAAAAAACCAGAGCTAAGAGCCTTTGCCTAAGTTTGTTGGAGGACTAGAGTGGAGAGCCATAATTGGCAGCACTGAGAGATTTGTTAACGCTGGCCAAAAGTTGGGAGGCTCAAGGCTGAGGGACCTGTGAGCACATCTTGGAAACTGTCCTGAGTGATTGTATTCTGCTAATTACCTGAATTATAACCTTTTGACTTTCCTGATATGGTTCTGTGTGTGGTCTGTGAGCTATCACAATGGATTTAGGACCTAATAGAGTAGTATTAGATGAGTAGAAAGAGGTGTGGGAGCGTGGGGGATCAGTTCATTGTGGAAATTGATTTTGTATTGTTCGGCCCTCCCCACGTGGCCTTTGCTCCATTTACAGTGACAAATTTATTACATGAAAGTAATGATTTTTATTTGGTAGACTAGACTCTTATATGCTCTGAATTTGTTGGCCTTTGAGTTGGAACTGACTCACAACTGACTTTCCAGGTTTATTTTTGTTGTCATTCACTGTAAGTTTGACAATTCATGATGGCCCTGTGAACAACAGGTCAGAAACTTGCCCCATGAAGGCAAATAGTATGGAAGAGAAGATTGTCTGTCTTTCTCCCAACCACCAGAGAGGCGTATTAGCAATGCAACTCCCTATGGACTATATACCACCAGAGCTCCCTAGATTATATATTTAGATTTTAAAATTTTAGTTTCATAGATTAAGATAGTAATATGTCTGTGTGTGTGTGTGTGTGTGTGTGTGTGTGTGTATTAAATGGCTCATACTGATGCATGTGACTAACTGTACATTTCTTACCAATTCTATGCCTCTTGTTGTTGACATCATAATGGCATCCTGAAATTGACAATCATGGGTTTATACCATGGAAACAATAAAATGTTAAATTTATCCTCCTTTTCCACCCCCTCACTCAGCACTTTCTAGAGATTTGGTGTATGACTCTTGGTGTAAGTTTCTCTAAAATGGCTAATTTATTTGTCTGAATTATACTGTGAAACATAAGGTTTTGAAATCCTTTTGAAAAAAGTGTTATATGGTCAACTGCAATTCAAAAACACCCTCTCTTTGTGGGAATCACAGTATATATGAACATACTAAATCTCTGGTAATACATGTATTGAACAAACCTGTTGAAAGAACTCAACATTTGCTAACCTTTATAAGTACATTCATAGTACTCACTTTTGTATTATATCTCATACATTAGCTCGTTAAATTAGCATTTTGTGGAGTACTTTGAGAAATAGAGGGCTAGGTCATGTTTACTGCTTACTAACTTAAAGTTTCTTTTTCAGCCCTACCAAAGTAACCCTCCTGGGGTCAATTATGTTCACATTTCAGCAGGCCAATCTTCTTGGAATATCACAGCATAATCTGATGTTCTGCTATACTGTCTTCCTTGTGACTACAAAGGTAAGTATAGCAGCTAACTATAAATTAGGTCTGTAAGTCTTATGTAACTCTTGCCCCTTGATAGAATTTTATATATCAGGCAAGAAACAGACACATTTCTTTGTATTCTTATTATAATTTTAAAAGATTAGTTGTTTTTTTTTTTACCCTAAACACACTTAATATTCCATGAGCTGCCAAGAGAACAAACAGATATGTCTTAGAAGAGTGCAGCCAGAGTGCTCCTTAGAGGCAAGTTTGGTGAAGCTTTGTCTCACATACTTTGGTCATATTGCTAGGAGAGGCTATTTTTTGGAAGGAGGCATCATGCTTGGAAAGGTGAAGGGTCGGCATGGGCTCAAATGTGTCACAATGATGAGGGTGGCACAGGATAGGACAGGATTCACATTTGTAGTTAATAAGGTCCCTGTGAGTTATACTCAGTTGGGAGGCACCGCCAACAACAATACTGTAAATAAGAGTTACTTGAGTCTTCTTTTGCTTTATGCAGAATCTGTTAGCAAAGACTATTGGTAACCTACGAAGCCAGAGAATAGTAGACAGAGTCAAGGATGATTAGATATTGCAAAGGTTCTATTGTCTCATTTGTGAGATGGAGTACTTGGGTTAGATATTCTCTTAAGTTTCTTTAGATTCTTGGGATTTCAAGATTTTATATTAGGACCTATGTTTAGTCAAATCAGGTCAGATATAGTTAATCAGCTTACACTTGATTGCTAACATAATTAGAAATGCCCAGTTTACTCCAGCTTTCAAGTAAATCACAAACACCCACCAGGATCCAACTATGCTAAGCTAAAGTTTCACTCACAGGTAGGACCAGACTGACTTTTAAATACAGAGGCGTGTCCATCAGATCCTGTTAGCCAACACAAGAAGCATCCCACCCAAGCTGATTGTGAACAAGATCAGATACAGTTCATCAGTTTATACTTGATTGCATACACTCCTAGAGAAGTAGCCCTAGAGAAAAAAGAACAGTAGCCTATAAAGGAGAGTAAATAAGATTAAACTCTAATTTCTCAGTAGAAACTATGCAAGTAAGGAAACAGTGGAATGACACATTAAAAACTCTGAAAGAGAACAACTGGCAGTCAGGAATCCTGTACCCATCAAAGTTCTCCATAAAATATGATAGAAAAAGCAGGACATTCTCAGAAAAGCATAAGCTGTAAGAGAGTTTGTGAGACAAAAATCAGTGCCACAAGAAATTCTAAAGGAAGTCCTTCCCCTGGAGATGCCACCAAAAAGTGGTTGGATCAAAGTAGCCAGCAACAGCATATAAAAGAACAAAAATGACAGAAATAAAACCTTGCCTTTCAGTAATCACACTGATCATATATAGTACATCCTGAAATATTTCATTGTCTGCCAATTCTTTGTGATAAAATTGTGGGGTGGCATCAAAGTGAGAAGAGAAAGAAAAAAAATCAACCCAAATGATGTCAGGATAGACCCTGAAAATTTTACTGGAGAGTTGAGAAGCAAAAACAAAGGGAATACAAAGAAAAAGTAGGAGATATCACACTCTTTGACCTTAAAACGGTGTCAAGAAACAATAAGATTGGCACAGGATCAGGCAGTTTAGGGCTGTTGTACATAGGGTTGCTATCAGTCGCAGGTGACTCTACAGTACGTAACAAAAAAACATATGTAAAAAGTGAAACCATGTAAGTACTAACCGAAAACTTGGGTGACTTCCTTTTCATTCTCAATGTAGAGGAAAGTCTAGTAAGTTTCTCACTCACATAAGGAAAGGTTGATAAATTTGACTTTAAAAATATGGCAAAAAAAAAATCATAGTAAAAAAAGTAACTGTTACATTGTGATAAAATACCAGAAAGGACTGATATTACTAATATGTAACAATTTCTTAAAGACTAAGGGAAGACACCACAAGATAAAGATAAATAACCCAATTGAAAAATGGGCACAGGATATGAACAGACACTTCACTAAAGAAGACATTCAGATGGCCAACAAATACGTGAAGAAAATGTTCAAAATCCCTAGCTCTAAGAGAGATGCAAATCAAAACAACTATGAGATATCATCTCACCCCAGTCAGAATAGCAAAATTTAACAGAACAGCAAATAAAAAATGCTGGCGAGGTTGTGGAGAAACTGGAATCTGTTCACTGTTGGTGGAAGTGTAAAATGGTGCAATCACTATGGAAGGCTGTATGGAGTGCTCTCAAAAAGTTGGAAGTAGAAATACCATTTGACACAGCAATTCCACCACTAGGAATATATCCTAAAGAAACCAGAACTTGCCATCCAAGCAGATATATGCACACACATGTTTATTGCTGTGTTGTTCAAAATAGAAAAGGGATGGAAACAACCCAAGTGCCCATCAACGAACAAGTGGGTAGAGAAGCTGTGGTATATTCACACCATGGAATACAATGCAGCAGTGAAAAACAAGGAACTCATGAAATATTATACAAAGTGGATGACCCTGGAGGACATTATGTTGAGTGAGTATCTCAGTCACAAAAGGACAAATACTGCATAGTGCCACTGTTGTAAAACAGGACTGACAGTGGGTTGGGGGTAACTAAGAAAAGAGGATAAATAATGTACACTACATGAAAACAGATGAGGGAAAGAAGTGCTTAAAAGGAATATATGATTAGGTATTATTTGTATGATAACAGTGCAGAATAAGAGCTACATTGTAAAGTGGACTGGGGTGGGAGTAGGGAATTGTACAACAGTGAAAGAATTTCTTCCCCTCCCCCCAAGAGAAAAGCAAACTAGGAATGGGTTGGAAGGAAAATGTGCAACAATGAATGAATGGAAATCCGAATTCTCTATAAACTTTCATTAAAATCTCAAAAAAAATTTAAAAAACAAAGGGAAAAAAGACCAAAATCCAAGTTTTAAAAAAATTTTAGAAATTTTGAAAAAGTTGCCAACAGATAATTCAATATGAGACTCATCTTCAGCTATATCAAAAAAGGTTAAACTCACCTAAAAATTAGAGAAATGCATATTAAAATGATGCTGAAATACCATTTGTCACTTAGTGGCAGAAAATAAAAACAGATTTTGCGACACATTCTGTGGATGATGCTGTGGAGAAACAGGCACTGGTGCTGTTTTTCTTTAGTGTTTGCAGGATATCACTGCATGTTTTTACTTTCTAGGTATTCATCTAGGTTTTTTGTGCATATTTATAGGAACTTTAACACCAAAATAAGCTCTGGTGGCATGGTCTGTAGAGTGTTGTGCTAACCAAAAGGTCGAGCATCGCAGAGGGTTGGGTCAGTTAGTGGCTCTGAGGGAGAGAGAGGAACAGTCTCTCCCTTAGGCTTGATAGTCTTAGAAGCCCAACGGGGAGTTGCTGTGGATTAGAATTGATGATACCACAGTGAATTTTTGAGTTTTAATTGCAATTTGTCATCTTGTTGTTGATACTGTTAGGTGGAATTGAGTCTACCACTGTTCATAGTGGCAGTATGAACAAGAAATCAGAACCTTGCCCTGTTTGTACCTTCCTCACAACCTCACCTTGCTCGGGTCGGTTGTTGCGGTAATGACCGCAGTCCATCTCGTCAGCTTTCTCTTTCACGAACCCTCTATCTTTCCAAGCATTATGTCTTTTTTTTCCAAGCAGTGGTCCATGTTGGCAACATGTCCAAAGTATGTGAGATGAAGTTTCACCATCCTTGCTTCTAAGGAACACTCTCTTAATAGTTTGTGAAATAGTTTTTTCCACTCTGTTTTCCCTTGGTATGCTTATGAAACATGTACACAGTGTATATCATTCATGTGCATTGCTTTTCACACATTCCTACATTTTCATTGTTTTGAATGATCACTTATACATTGTGTTTTATAATATTAATCACAGTTAATTTATGCCTACTATTATCACATCTTAGGTCACCATAGGTTCTTCACCAATTCCTTTACCTTCAGTCCCTCTGCTCACCAAACTCTGTTCCCTTAATGCTCTCCTCTCCTCCCATTCCTCTACTTCTCTACCTTCTTTCGCATCCCCTTTTTGACTTTTTCCCACATCTTACTAATTATCCTTGTATTTTTACAATAGTAATCTTATTCGGTATTTGTCCATATGAGACTGAGTCAGTATGTTTTATTTTTAAAATACCAAAAAGTAAGTGTTCATTTCACTTTTCACAATTATATTGTATCACCTTGCTTAATTAAGACCTGATACGAGACTAAATTCACAAAATTCTGTTCTTGAACCTCTTAACTATTTCAGCAGTAATGCTGATGCTAACAGTACTTCTCAGCTGAGTGATGAGTCTACTGGGAGTGATGAGTCTACTGGGACTTTGAAAAATACTAACGTTCACATCCTTAGGAAACTTTAAATTCTGACACCCTTAAGGATAGTACTATTTTCCTGAGATAGTGGAGCACTGATTTTGATGTTTTCTTTTTGTCTTTCATTGGCAGTTCATTAAGCTAGGCTTAGATTTCCCTATTGCAACATGTCTTTTGATTTCTTGACTATTGCTGTCATGGGTATTTGGTGTGAATCCAGATATTTATCCCCATTCCCAAAAAAGATGGTCCAACAGAATGTGGAAATTTTCAAACAATATCGTCAGTATCACGTGCAAGTAAAATCTTGCTGAAGATTATTTAAAAACAGTTGGGACAATACATTCACAGGCCCATAAATTCAAACTGGATTCAGAAAAGACTGTGACACAAGGGCATCATTGCTGATGTCAAGTGGATCTTGGCTGAAAGCTGAGACTACCAGAGAGATGTTTACTTGTGTTCGTTGATTATACAAAGGCATCTGACTGTTACAACAGATTATAGCTAACAATGGGAATCTCAGATCTCTTAATTGTGCTCATGAGAAACCTATACATAGACCAGGAAACTGTTGTCCAAAGAGAAAAAGAGAATACTGTGTGGTTTAAAATTAGGAAAAATGGACATCAGAATTGTATCCTTTCTCCAAATTTATTCAGTCTTTATGCTGAGCAGATTATTCACGAAGTTGGACTACCAGAAGAATGTGATATTAGGATTGGAGAAAGACTCATTAACAGCCTGTTACGCGGATGGCACATTCTTACTTTCTATAAATGAAGAAGGCTTGAAGCCCTTACTGTAGGAAGTCAAAGACTACAGCCTTCAATATGAATAATATCACAACATTAAGAAAACAAAAACTCCTGACTTCTGGATCAATAGGCAAAGTCATGATAGCTGGAGAAAAGATTGAAGTTGCCAGCAGTTTGAGTTCATGTGAATCCACAGTCAGTATATATGGTTGTAGCATTTACCATCATTGCCTTTAGTTTTTGTGCATCCCTCAATATTTTACTTTAGTCACTTTCTCCTGATCTCCACCATATTGTGTATTGCCTTTTCTTTTACCAGAACAAATGTGTGTCTCTTATCTTGATTCTAGTACCTCATTCTAATACTAAGTAATTCTTCCTCATTCTTCCTTCTCCTCTCCTTTCTGTCAGTTTCTTTCTGCACATAAAATTATTTTTTAAATTTTAGAGATGATATATATATTTGTTCTTTTCACTGTTTCTTTTCCCATTTCGTTCTTTCTTGTATAGTATTCCATTGTATGTATATTCCACCTTTTGTCAATTCATCTGTTGATGGATATGTAGATTATTTCTGTCTTTTTGCTATTGTGATTAATGCTGCAATGAACATTGGCATGCATAAATTTATGTCACTGCTTTTATTTTTATAGATTATATTAGTATCTTTACTAGGGAGCTTGTTGAATAATATATTTCTAGCTTTTTGGAAAGTGCTATACAATTTTCCACAGTGGTTGTACAATTTTACAATCCTGTCAGCAATGTGTAAGACTTCCAGTTTTGGTTACAAGCTGGTCATCGTTTCTTGTGTTCTCTGTATTTGAGTATGGCTATTTTTGTGGGATTAAGATGGTTTCTCATTATAATTCAGGTTTGTATCTCTCCAGTGGCTACAGTTGAATTCTGATGGCTCACGAATCCTGTCAAAATCAGGTGTGAAGCGCTGAACACTAGTGACAAAGATCCGAAAAAGTGTGGGATGATAGCAGCAATGAGGAGAGCAAAAGGTCATTACCAAGACAGAGGAGAAAGAAAAAATCAAAGTGGGTGTCAGAAGAGATTATGAAAATTTCATTAGAGCATCAAGAGACCAAAATAAAAGGGGAAGATGCCAAAGTAAAAAAAGGTAAACAGAAGATTTTAAAGGACAGTCAAAAAGATAACGAGGATGTTATAATGGAATGTGCAAAGAGCTGGAGTCGGAATAAAAAGGGAAGAACTTGCTTGGCATTTCTCAGCCTGGAAAAACGGAAAAATAAATCCAATCCCTGAGTTGCAATACTGAGAGATGCTGTGGACATCTCTTGAATGATCCTGGAAACCTCAAATGAAGATGAAAGAAACACGGAGTCCCTGTACAAAAAAATACTGGTTGAGACTGAAAGATTTCAGGAAGTACCATCTGAAAAAGTGCTAATGGTAATGAAGACATTGAAGCTTCACTGAAAGCTTTGGCAAAATATAAGGCCCCAGAAATCAGTGAGATACCAGTTTAACATGTTTCACGTAATGGATGCAGCCCTGGATGTGCTCACTTGTCTGTGCCAGGAAATTTGGAGGACTGCTGCCTGACTCTTTAATTGGAAGAGATCCTTGTTTGTTTCCATTTCCAAGAAAAATGACTCAACAGAATGTGGAAATTATTATGTCATCATTGCCACATTCAAGCAAAATATTGCTGAAGAGCATAGAAAAATGGCCAGACCATTACATTGAGAACTGCCAGAAGTTCAAGTAGGGTTTAGAAGAGGCCATAGCATCAGGGCTATCATTGCTGATGTCAGATGGATCCTGGCTGAAAGCAAGGAATACTGGAAGAATGTCTATTTGTGTTTTATTGGCTGTGCGGACATATTTGACTCTGGGGATCAAATAAACTATGACTAATTTAAAGAAGAATGAGAATCCCAGTATACTTAATTATGCTCATGTAGATAACCTACGAAATTATGCTCATTTGAAATCATTGGCCAAGAAGCTGTTGTCCAAGTGGAGCAAGGAAACTGAACAATAGAGAAACACAAATTCCTTCCCATCCACATGACAAAGTCAAAGTAAATGGATAGGAAAGCCAATTTGAACAATAAACCCAATTACATATTCAGAAGATTAAAATATCAGATGACAAGACCAAAGACTCAACAGAACAGTTGGACCTAGTAAAGTAATTCAGTACAGTGTCAGGATATAAGATCAATAGGCAAAAATCAGTGGGATTTCTCTACAGTAGTGAAGAAAACGTGAAAAAGGAAACTAAGAAAGCAATACCTTTTGCATTAGTCAGCCACAAGATGAAATACTTAGGATTAAACTTAACTAGCGACACAAAAGACCTTTATAAGGAAAACTACAAAACACTGCTACAAGAAGCAATAAGAGGCCTTGGAGGCAAAGATGATGAAGCTTTCTTTCATATAATTTGGTCATGTTGCTAGGAGAGGTTATTCCATGGAGGTTTATTCCATGGTTAAAAATCCTGTTTGGGAAGATGGAGGGGCAGTGAAAAAGAAGACCCTCCACCAAGAGGGTTGACATAGTGACTGCGGCAATAGGTTTGAGTGTCTCAGAGATTGTGAGGATGGCATGGGATAAGACATTGTTCAGATCGGTTGTTGATAGGGTTGCTGTGAGTCACACTCAATTAATTATTTGGCATCTAATAATAACATGGGTGGGAATATATGATTAGGATGTGTTAGTCCACAAGGGGATTGGCTAGTCTTGCTATTAAATTGAGTTGGTTCAGCAGCAGAATTTGAGCATCTTACCACCAGCCAAAAAGAAGAGAAGAATGTAGTGTTCCCTTCAGGGTCAGAGATCTTGTGCCAGCCAGACCATTTGCAACCACAGTAGAGAACCAGAGACTTGACATGAGAAAGAACTGACCTTGGGAGTGCTACCCTATAAAGCAGAGCTAGGAGCTTTCCCCCACCTTTGTTGGAGGATAGTGGGGAGAGCGATAAATTGGCAGGACTTTTTGACTGCTTATTTGGTACTGCTTATTTGAGCTGTGGTGCTGGAGAAGAGTATTGAGAATACCATGGACTGCTAGGAAAACAAACAGATTTGTCCTGGAAAGGGTTAAATCGGGTGACTCCTTGGAGGCAAGGATTCAGAGGCTCCGTCTAACATACTTTTGGACATGTTGTGAGGAGAGACCAGTCCTTGGAGAAGGACATCATGCTTGGGAGGGTGGAGGGACAGCGCAGAAGAGGAAGGTCATCTATGATGTGGATTGATTCAGTGACTAGGATAATCGGGATGGGAGTGTCAGAGACAGTGCGATTGGCACAGGACAGAGCAGAGTTTAGGGCTGTTGTACATAGGGTCGCTATGAGTCGCAAGCGACTCGATGGCACATAAAAACAACAACAAAATATTTGGTACTCAGAATATACCTTGGTTTAGTTTAGTTTTGTTGTTTTAATTACTTAGTGAACTTTTACAGTGAACTTTTTACATCTTTGCACAGAACCTAACTTAGTTTACGCCTTCTGTATATTAAATTTAAGGCAATTATTTTAGATCCTGTTTGTTAATTTTTTCCCCCTCTCAGTTCTGAGAAACCGAAAAAATAAATTAAAAATTCAACTTTCCCCTTGTAGATAACCATGATGCTCACAGAGACGTCTCTTCTGCCTTTTGGTTCCTTCGAGGATGCATTGGGTCGCATGCTGTTTGGCTTTCCTCAGCAGTTTTCATTAGGTGGAAAGAAAAGTGAAACGAAATCCAATGGTACTGGCTCAACCACCTCAACAAAGCCTGCAGCTGATGCTTCAGATAGTCTTAATAGGCACAGTAAGAAGACTGAGTAAACATATGAGTCATACAAAAAACCCACCACCACAGAACCACACATGTGTTTATATATATCTACCTGCTAGATTGATAAATATTTCTATGTAAATGATGTGAAATAAAAGATTTTATATAAAGAATGTAGATGACAAAAATAGAGGACTTTTTTGTTTTAGAGAAATTAACCTTTTGTGGATTATAATTAATGAATTCTGTGAGTGTATCATGTGAAAATGTCTTTCCAAGTTAAACTCTTGTGATTATTTTGTTTTATATTTATAAAATAAAACTAGACTGAAACAATTACAGAAAGTAAGCCTAACACTATTTTTTTAAAAATGAAAACTTTTTAATTTAGATATTGTCATAAAAATACTTTCATTTGAACTGTTACTCATTAGAATTCTGCTATACTACATATTAGAATTATAATTTCCTAAGCACAGAAAATAATTCTGAATTACTTTTGACACTGGAAAGTGTAAACTCTTCCTAAATTACTTTTCATTATGAATGAAAATAAATTACTAGTTTTTATTTCAGAGATAGTCCTGTGTCTTTATGTCTATTAAATGGAAAATATCTGATATTTTATTTCTAGCAATATTTTTCAGTATCATACTAGAACTGGAGTCTGTTTTACATTCTTTTTAAAAACCTTTTCCTTTTGTTGTTGTTTTGTCTAAAAGGAAAATCAAGGATGTAATTTTAAAGAAATTATTCCATGGATTTTTTTAAGCTTTTTTTTTGTTTTAAAGATGTGTATCTCTTTAAAACACATTTGTTTTCAACTACAAAACAAATTATTCTTAGGTTTTACATATGGTTAACTCTCCTCTGATCTTGGTTGTATTATTAGTAGTTATTATTTTAATGCTTAAAAAATTTCTTAGTAAAAACTTTCCGTTACTCTGTTTCCTTTCTAGTGGGAGGTTTTTTCAGTTTTTAGTTTAATGTTTTTCATTAGTTGTCTTGTGTCATATTTTAATCTACATAAACATATATTTTATTTTGCATCAGAATTAAATACCTCTATGTGAAATTGCCTGACTTTTATTAGTATTGTTCTTGGACATTTCATAGTAACCAACTAACCAAGGATATCAGTTAATGAAAGACACATAGAGAAACAAAATTTTTAATTTGGTTCCTTTTAGGCAAAGTAAAAAGAAATAAAAAGTACTTGTTTTAGATTTTCTTGCTCTATTCTTTTGTTTAAAACTTCAGTTATAACTGTACAGCTCTGTGCCATGATTTTTTCTGTCATAAAAATGAATCTGCTGCCTGCAAAGAGTTAATGTATCGTATTTTTAGACTTTTAAAGGATTCAGATTACACTCATGTTGTAAGTTTTTACTTTTTTAAAAAAATTATAGCTGTAAACATCAACAGGTACTAAAGGGTTTTTTGAATGTTTTTTGAAACTTTTATAGCCTTGGATTGCTAAGAAAGTTGTATTTTTAATACTGTGACAGAAAACATTAAATATTTATGAATTCTGTATTATATTTGATACTCTGTATTTAAACAATCTTTTTCAAAATTAAAATCTTACTAAATATTGCACTTTTTTGATATTTGAATTCAGTTGTCATAGAAATGGTAGAGATCTTGATTTATATTTGTATTAAAGACAAACTTATTAAAATAACTTATTTCACACCAATGGAGTATTACTTTATTTTTATGTTTTTTCTTTTAATATTGTATGAGCTAAGAATAAAAAATTCTTCTTGTGTTTGACTTCTCTATATACACACATGTACATTCATTCAATAATCACTGCCCAAATAGGTTATCAGTACAGATTTTATTCTTCTATGCAAATATCCTCAAAGAAATGGATTGACACAGTGACACTAATAATGGGCTGAAATACGGCAGAGATGGAGATGACACAGAAGAGGGCAGGGTTCAGAGATTTCCTTTGACTTACAGTTGATTCAATAACATTTAACAACATGCAAATATCCTATAATCTTTGTTTCATAGTTCTGGAACTCCCAACCTGAATCTGATCATACCTGCCTGTAGAGACTTGACTGGATTTGCAAAGCCTGGATGAGTCCTGTAGGCCTGCCCTACACCAACAGTCATTGATGGTACTGAGAAGGTCAAGACCTGTCACATCACTTAAGGAGAGGAGACAAGAGTCTGGCAATACCATCATCAGATTAACTCAGTGATCTAGTAAAGTGATAAACCTAGTTCAGTAGTAAAATGTGGCCAAGGTAATAACTGTTGTCAGATGAGTTACTCTTCTTTAAAGTATAAAGCAAGGGCTGGAGAGATTTGATATGAGATATGCAAGTTTCTAGAGAAATTCCAGTTAAGAGAATCTAGCATAAATCTGGGAATCTGAGATAAAAAGAATGGAGAAACGAGAATATTTCCTTTTTAGTGCTTGATCGTTTTCTCTCTACTCCTGTGAGCCCAGACACCGTTGCTTTAAACTCTTCCCTCAAATTAGAATTAAGATTAAAAAAAAATATTTAATTAGATTGCAGTTGTGTGGTTTATTGGAAAAGGATTTATGTGTTAAAAACCTGGCATTCATCCATACAAACTTTTTGTAGTTTTTGCCTCATTTACAATTTGTGCAGCTTGGTGGTGTATCAGGTTAGGTGTTGAGATGCTAACTGGACAATTGGTTCAAGCCTATCTGCTTTTCCAAGAGAACTTGATGGAGTAGTTCTGTTTTGTCCTGTAGGGTTGTCGTGAGTTACTGTTATTGGCGGTGGTTGTTATGTGCCGTTGAGCCCCTTGTGACTCATAGTGACCCTATGTACAACAGCCCTAAACTCTGTCCTGTGCCAATTGCACTGTCTCTGACACACCCATTCCAATCACTGAATCAATCCACCTCATAGAGGGCCTTCCCCTCCTGGGCTGTCCCTCCACCCTCGCAAGCATGTTGTCCCTCTCCAAGGCCTGGCCCCTCCTTACATGCCCGAAATATGTCAGACGAAGCCTCAGAATCCTTGCCTCTAAGGAGCCGCCTGGTTTAACCTCTCCTGGATCCTGGATGAATCCGTTTGTTTTCCTAGCAGTGCATGGTACCCTCAATACTCCTCCAGCACCACAGCTCACAGGCATCAATTCTTCTATCCTCCCTCGTCATTGTCCAACTCTGATGCATAACAAGTGATAGCAAGGACCATGGCCTGTATCAGATGCACCTTAGTCTCCAAAGAGACACCATTGCTCTTCAGTACTTTGGGGAGGTCCCTAACAGCAGACTTTCCCATGGCAGTACGTCTTTTAATTTCCTGGCTGCTGGTGCCAAGAATGTTGACTGTGGAGCCAAGCAGACTAAAGCTGTGAACAATCTCAATCTCTTCACCATCCATCCTGATGCGGCCAATTGGTCTAGTGGTGAGAATCTTTGTCTTCTTGATATTGAGCCTCAATCCATGTTGAAGGCTGCAGTCCTTGACCCTCTACAGCAAGCGCTTCAAGTCCTCTCAGCAAGCAGGGTTGTGTCATCTTCATAATGCAGACTGTTGATAGATCTTCCACCAATCCTGACGCCACACTTCCCATAGAGACCAACCTCTCTGAAAATCTGTTCTGCATACAGATTGAAACAGTATGGAGATAGGACACATCCCTGGTGTACACCCTTCCCAATTTTGAACCATGCAGTTTCCTTGCTTTGTTCTGACGACTGCCTCTTGGTCCAAGTGTAGGTTTTGCATTAGCATGATCAAGTGTTCTGGGATTCCCATTTTTCTCTGAGTCAGTCACAGTTTGTTATGATCCACACAGTCAAACGCCTTTGCATAATCAATGAAACACAGATAGACACTCTTCTTATATATCCTGCTTTCAGTCAAGATCCATCTAACATTAGCTACAATATTCCTAGAACCAAGACCCCTTCTAAACCCAGCCTGGACTTCTGGTAGTTCTCTGCTGATGTGCTGTTCCAGTCGTTTTTGGATAATTTCAGTAGCATCTGCTTGCATGTGAAATCAATGATATTGTTCTATAGTTTCCACACTCTGTTAGGTCACTCTTCTTTGGTACGGGAACAGATACAGATCTCTTCCAGTCAGTTGGCCAAGTGGTTGTTCTCCAGATTTCTTGGCACAACTTGGTGAGCACGTCCAGGGCAGCATCTGTTAGCTGAAATATGTCAATTGGTATACCATCTATTCCTGGGGCCTTGTTCTTTGCTAGTTCCTTCAAAGAAGCCTGAACATCTTCATCATCATAGGCTCTTATTCATATGTTCATGAAATTCTTCTGTGTCTTCCAATTCCTTTCGATACAGTGACTCAGTATATTTTTTCCATCTTCTTTTAATACTTCCTGGATCATTTAATAGTCTGCCTATAGCAACTCGAGGTTTGAATTTGTTCTTCAGTTCTTTGAGCTTAAGAAATGCTGAGCAAGTTTGGCCCTTTTGATTTTCTGACTCAAGCTCCTTGCACATTTCATTGTAATATTTTGCTTTGTCATCCCATGCTGCTTTTTGGAATCTTCTATTCAGTTCTTTAGTATCTTGAATTCTTCTTTGTGCTTTGGCTTCTCTGTGCTCCAGTGCAATCTTCAGAGTTTCTTCTGACATCCATTTTGGTCTTCTCTTCCTCTTCTGTCTTTGTAATGAACGTTTCCACTTTTCTTGGATGATATCCTTGATATCCTCCCACAACTGATCTGGTCTTCGTTCATTCGTGTTCAAGGCCTCAAACCTGTTCCTGAGATGATTCTGAAATTCAGGTGGGAAAAACTCAGAGTCATATTTTGGCTCCAGTGGGTTTGGTTTAATTTTCCTCAGCTTCAGCTTGAACTTGCATACGAGTACTTGGTAGTGGATTAATAATTCACATCTGTGGTGATAGTTAGGAACTCTGGTGGTGTAGTGCATAGCAGGTTGCACCTGCTAATCAAAGTATCAGCGAGTTGGGCTTGTAACCCACAGGCATATTTCCTAGCAACTGAGAAAAATGGGTAGGCGCCTCCCACTAAGATTTACAGTCTCAGAAACCCAACAGAATCACGAGTATGAATC